CTTTCTCCCACGCGAACAGAACCCTACCTGTTCGACAAGACAAAAGGTTCTCTGCCAAGAGAACCCTTGTAGAAATTTTTTTGGAGATGATGGCAAATTTTTTTTCATAAGCAAGAAAAATTGCAGAGGAACAATCATTATTCGTGCAAAAGTTGGGAAGGAAATCTAAGGTTAGGGTTACAACAATACTCATCATCGTTGAATTATTGGCAGCACGTTCACCTGAAAAGATACTCACCATGTTTGATTAAGCTTTATACTTATTACCAGTTTGTAGTCCCTGTAGAATGGAATGGTCCCACCTGAACTGTCAGTAATTCAACGAACTAGTTGAACTGTTAACCAGATGGTTGGACTATTCAACCCATGACCTATCTATCTAGTCTGAATACTATAAAATTGGCTTAGTCCATAAACATTTTTCTATACATAAGAATATGAACCAAACCATGGTAGACTAGTAGGATATTTCTAGGTGGTAGTGGGTTGGTTCATAAATGGCAGTACGAGACCTTTGCAGTATGGTATACTATCTGTGAAGTGAGGAAACAATAGGGTTATTTTTTGAACCGAACCGATCTAATCGGTTTTTTGAGTATTCAAACTAAAACTGAACCGATGCAACTAGTTAACCAGTGAATTGATTAAATACAGTTCGATTTTTTGGTTTTTTATGCATTTAAAAGAAAAAAAAAAAGAGAGAGAAAGACCGTTGGTCGATCTGGGATTTTTCTCATTCGGAAAGAAGAAGAGAGATGAGAGAGAGAGAGAGAGAACTGAGAGATGAGAACCTGAGAACTCGGAGGCCGTCGGTCGGAGCCTAGAAGTCATCGATTGGTATGGGGAAGAAGAAGACTAGAGAGACAAGAGATTGAGAACTGAGAGTGAGAGAGAAAGGGAAAGGCGTTTACTCTGAAAGAGAGAACTGAGAGATGAGAGACAAAGAACTGAAAGGTCGTCGGTTGGAGACTCGGAGGCCGTCAATCGGTTTGGAGAAGAAGAAGACTAGAGAGATGAGAGGTTAAGAACTGAGAGTGAGAGAGAAAGGGAAGGGCATTTAATTTGATTTGAAGAGAGGAAGATTAGAATTTAGAAAGGGGTATTTGCATTTTTGCATGGGGATGCGCATCGTGGGCGGATACACGTCGCTCTACATCTACAAGACTACAACAAGAAAATAGGAAACCATGAAAAACTGACTAGCTGAGTCACCGAAAAGGTGAAAAGTGAAAATGACAGAAAGAGAAAGGCTATTCGATTTTAAAAAATATAAAAATAAAAATAATATAAAATATATATAATATAATATAATATAATATATATTAGTATATATATACCAGTCGATTCATTTAATCGCTGGTTTTTTAAAGGTTAACTGAAACCAAACCAACCGGTTCGGTTAATTGAGTTTTTGGTTCAGTTTCGGTCAATTCTGTTTTTTCGATTTTTTTTGCTCACCCCTAATAAACAAGCAAGGATGTTGGACATGACATTCTATATGAGTAGCAAGATCAATCAAGGTTTTATTCAGTTTTTTTTTTTGATAAATTGGAAAAAAGTATTGTATTAATAGTATGAGAATGAGAAGGGAGGGGCTCCCTCAGTTGTAAAAAGAAGATGTATCAAGACTAATCAAAAGTATCACTATATTATTTACGGTGAATCAGAGAATATACAAAAAACTATTACAATATAAATGATCTCCAATCATTGGTGAAATAGCCACTATAACTCCAAAAAACTATTGCAACTAGACCTGTCAATTACTAGACATATCAATTACTTGTGAAATGGCTGTTGAAATCATTTATGAAATAAAAAAACTCCAATCATTTGTGAAATGGCTGTTGAAATCAGCCATTTGTGAAATCAACGACTAGACATATCAATTACTTGTTCCTGGACCAGAGCAGAGACATGTCACAAATCACAACACTTTTTTTTACCAAACTTGAAAAATAGCAACAAATCCACAAATGAGCATTGATTATTAAACAAGATAAATGACAATGAAAGGCAAAACAAGCTACAAATCAAAATTTAAATTCTTATAAATTCATTGTGCTAGAAATCTATGCATTAGTATCACTTAAAACCTAGAGGAATCTGAAAAAAAAAAGAGAGAAATTACAATTGATTATACCTGAAAAAAATCCAGTTCATCACTGCTGTCCCAAAGAAGAAGATGAAGAGAAATGGGGGATTCGTTGAGAAAAAAAATGAAAGAAAGAGCGGAACTGGAGAGAACGATAGAGGAGGAAGAAAGAAAAGGTGGATGGTCAGCTGGTTTTCACTGTTCACTGCCGCTGATCATGAAAATGATTAAAAGAAATAGGGTTAGAACGTTACCTTCTCTTCTCCTGCTCGAACAAACAAGGTTCGGTGTTGGATTGGATATTGCCCAGAAATTTCCCCCTTCTCAAGCACAAACGAAGAAAGTTTGTTACATTATTGTAACCCTAACCCTAGATTTCCTTCCCAACTTCTGCACGAACAATGATTGCCTCTGTGCAATTTTTCTTGCTCGTGAAAAAAAGCTTGTCGTCTTTTCTAAAATCTTTCTACAAGGGTTCTCTTTGTACAGAACCTTTTGTCTTGTCGAATATGAAGGGTTCTCTTCACTAGGGTTGTTCATGGGTCGGGTTGGGTCGGTTTACTGAGATTTTTCCAACTGACCTGACCTGAGCGGATTACCTAAAATTGAAACCGAAACCGACTCTATGTTAAGCAAAACCGACCTGATCGGTTTGATTTGGATTGGGTCGGTTTCGGCTCTAAATTCAACCATGCTTGAGAGTCAAATTGTATTAGAGATTGTGCTTGAGTTGAAGGGCTAAGGGGGGCGGACCAAGTTAGAATAGAAGTTATCAAGAAAGTAAAAAGTCAAACTGTATTAGAGAAAGGAGACTGAAATTTGTATATTTCAAGAAACTTTCTAATCTAAGTAAAAAATGACACCTAATTATAATTGTAATTGGTTGCCTATTTGGTGCAAAATACTATAGAAACTAGGACCCTTTGATTCATTTCTTTGAACTTTTCCAAAAAAAATTCTTGTCCAGTTGTCTTACAATACTTGCCATTAATGTCATTCCTAACTAGAAGACTAGAAATTAAGTTAGGTTGTAACTAGGACAGAAATAACTTAGTTAAGTAAGAACTAAGTAGGTTGTAACTACTAACTAGGAACTAACTACTAACTACTAAGTTGGTTTGGTTCGGATTCGTTTCGGTTCTCACACATGAAAACCGAAACTGACCTGAACCATCGATTTATAATTTTTTACAACCCAAAACCGGCCAGTATTGAAGAAAACCCAGCCAACTCAGGTTGGATCGGTCCGGATTGATCGGTTTAATCGGATTGGGTCTTGTTATAAACAACGTTTGTCCTATACCGATCCATTGTAACATTAGACCAGTTTAAATCCAGTTAATTGTAAAATCCATCGAGCATATTATTATAGACCGTCGTGCCAGTTTTAAAATCGATGTAGGTGGCGGTCTTTAGAACTACTTCTATTAAGGTAAAATAATTAATAAATGTTAGAGGGAGGAAGCTGTAAGTCTAAGAAGTCTACATTGTGTCATGTTATGGCTAGGACTTGATGTAAATCATAAGCTTGGGATGCACACTATGAGCTTAGTCAAGAGTTGGGCTTTCAACGGGTTGAGTCCAAGTGGAATCGAAATTGGCTCAACAAAAAATACGAAGGACCCGGAACCGAATCGGACCTAATAAGGTATGTAATTTTAGACATAGAATCGAACCGACCAGTTGTTGGGACAATCGGGTCTAACCTGATGGACCGACAATAATAAACTTACTAAAAGTATTATACATAATATTAATTTATTTAATATATTAAGTTATATATATATTAAATTGTATATAATTTAACATATTATATATATTAAATATAAGTTTACTTATTCATTTAATTATATATAGTTGGTTGGGTCTGAATGGTTTGGGATTGGGTGGAATTGGTTTTGAACCGATAAAAATGGGGACAATATATCATGAACCAAACCAATCCATCAGTTCTGGTTTTTAGAACCAGAACTAACCCAACCGGTTTGGGGGGATCCAACCCAACCCATTGACAGCCCTAGTCAAGACTAAACTTAGTTGACTCTAGGTTTGGTTCTTAGGTATTCTTGGACTTAAAAATTGTTTAATCTTGCTTTGGAAGTCTAAGGTGACAATATCTAGACCTTTGGAATAAAATTATGTAAGGTTCTAAGGTCATGAGCAATGAGGAGTTGAAAGCTCCAAATTGATGAATCAACTACCTTTGACAACTGGACATGCTCACAAACACCAGATGGAAAAACTTTAGCTGTTGGGGCTCAACAGCCTATATTGTTGAGAGAATTTCTGAAAATGCCATGTTACCATGAGAACGGGTAAATTAATAATTACATCTTAATTTATTTTGACTAAAAATCAAAGCATGGGCATGAATAGGTGAACTACCTAGAACGTGCCCAGCCCAGACAGACCCCAACAACCAAAGTTAACCCACACAAGACTGATGATAGTGTCGAACTGGCAAATCCAACTTCATGATGATATATCGTATTATAATCATGGATAGCTCTTATCATAATTCCATCATCTGTTGATATATCTTATCCTTGTAAACTCTTTATCTCTTGTAACAGTCGAGATTCCCGTACATGTAAAACTCCCCTTTACAGTGTAAATAGAACACCCAAGTAATCGTAATCTTCACTACTGGGTTTATTCCAAATTCTGGTTGTTATTATATGATAAGAGATGTCCATGATTATTATGATAAGGTGACGTGGCTATGGTATCTGATAAAGACTCTATATCTCTAAACCTATAAAAAGACAGTTAGATATGGTTACCCAAGCTGATCCATAAATTGGTAATGGTTCCTCCATCATTACTACGTACACCTTGAATTACACCAATCTGCTTAGCTAGAAACAATCTAGCTAGTAGTTATCAAATCAAACTGCAAATCAAATGATATAAACCATAGATCAATTAAAATAGCTTATATTCATCATTCCATATTATATTCTCCTTATGCAGTAGAACAGATACATCTTAGACTGCTCAAAACTTCCAAAACTAGAAGTTTGGCCTGAGATGAGAAAGTTGGAAAAATCATTTCTCGTACATATAGATTATCAGAACTACTAGCTACTCCATGATTCTAACCAGGCAGCCACGCGGTTCTCCATTAATCCTCTTAATATCAATAAAAGAAAAAGGAGAGAGAAAAAACAATGAAAAGGATGCCCATCAAGGACTTAACTACAATAGAAGTGGTGATCTCTAATAAAACCTATTAACCCATGGTGTATGAAGGGGATGGAAGGTTGATGACTGTGCTCTTGACCTTGGTCATCAAGTTAATACTGTTTGTGACTCCTTGTGACCCAATTCCACTATCTCTTAGACCCTGCAAATAAACAACAATTAATCCAGTGAATCTCCATATGAAGAGTATAGTCACCGAAAATTTTAATGTTGAATTAGTTTCAGAGAGCCCATGTATACCTGGAAAGGAAAATGATCTGGCCCACGAGCTGGGGCTGAATTGATTTGAACTGTTCCCGTCTCCATTGCATCACTAATCAAAACTGCCTTATTGATATCTCTTGTGAAGACACAACCCTGAGTTCAAATCATGTATAAGATGAAATTCTAATTGTAATAGGACCAATTACAGTTACAAAAAGAAAAAAAAGTTACATTTACTATCAAATATTGATGGTAACTAGTATCAGATTGCAATAATAATCTCTCTTACTTTGACAAGTCGTTAGATAACAAATGCTTTAACACCACTTTGCATCAAGCAGACCATAGTAAAGTGCCAATAAATGTATTTGAGACCAAAATACAATCCTAATTAACCGCACATTCAATGATTCAATCATGCTAATTTCTATGAAACCCAACCCTTTGCAACCCTAATTTCAATAGGGGGCTAGATCCAGAGTTAATATGATAGCCTTCATTTGGGTTCAAGGATATTGGACAATTTCCTAGAAGGAAATGTTAAGTTGGGAGAAAACAGTGATTCAATGTTTCCTCCAAGCTGAAGGGGACTATTCTGAAAATAGGGGAGGAAAGGAAGATCAAATCTTTACCTGCAATCCAAAATTGCTAGCATTGCAATGGTGAATTCCTTCCTCGACAGAGTTTATCCTTATGACTGGCAAAACAGGACCAAATGGTTCCTCCCATGCAATCCTCATATCAGGTCGGACATGATCTAACAAGAGGGGCCAGATGAGATTTCCTTCTCTCCTGTACTCTTGGCAAAATGTTGCTCCTTTCTGCTTGGCATCCATTACCAACCCTTCAATGAAGTTCGCAGATGATTCTGAGACAACTGGTGTAATATCACAGTCATCCTCTGGTGCTCCAACAGTCAGTTTTGCTACTCTTGCTTTGACTTTGTTGACAAGAGCATCAGCTACTGACTCCATCACCAAGACAACCTTGACAGCTGTGCATCTTTGGCCACTGTAACAAAAGAAAATAGAAGGCATTCCGGATGTATTTGTCAAATGCATTTGCTAAGATGAAAAGCTAAACCATTCAATGACAAGTTTAGAGGTTCTCTGAATCCTTATACCTGTAAGAGAAGCCTCCTTTTATGATGTTTGCTGCAACTAAATCCAAATCAGCATCTTCAAGCACAATGCATGCATCTTTTCCCCCCAGTTCCATCTGAAGAGGAACCATGCCCGCTTTCTTTGATATTGCTATTCCAGTGTCTCCACCAGTGAAGCTACACACCAAACATGCTTGTGAGGCAGGATAAACTGAGTATATTTCAGAAAAGAAGTAAGCACCAACTTATGGAGTATTGAAGGCCTCAAGGTAAGAAATATAACCTTATACAATTCACCCCAGGATGCATTGTGAGAAAGTCACCAATCTCAGAACCTTTCCCAGTAACACAACTGATAAGACCTTTGGGGAAACCTGCCAAGTGAAAACAATGAACCATATGGAGAGCCGCAACAGCACCCTGCAGAGCATGCATAAAGTGAGCTTATGGAAACGAATTAATCTAGAATAACTAGCAAATGACAAAGAATTTTCACCATTTAAGTGGGAGAACCATTAAACATGGTTAAAGAGTTGTAGCCATTTTAGAAGGGAAATTTGAAATATGTGCATAAAGAGTTGTAGCCATTTTAGAAGGGGAATTTGAAATATGTGCATGTACTACCAAGACAAGTAGACAACCTCATTATTAGAGTAAATGAAATTTTTAGTAGAATACCTGAGTTGGAGGCTTGAGAACCAGAGAGTTTCCAGCAATCAGGGCAGGAGCAATTTTTGAGACTGCCAAGTTAACAGGATAGTTGAAAGGTGGGATTGCTAATACAACCCCAAGTGGAATCTGCAGTTAAATGCACAATTGAAATTCTTAACCCATTCCAGAAGTATGGACAAGAAATAAATAAAGAAGACTTTCACTTTGATTTTTGAGAGTTCTCGTTACAGTTTGCTTTTAAAATTCTTGTTGGATGAAAAGTCCTTGAATTTGAGGAAATAAGTCTTACCAAAATTACGTAAAGATAAAGCAAACCAGTTTAAGAAACATGGTAGTGAAAGAAAACCAGAAATTATAATTAGATTGCACCAAATAGGAACTGTAACAGACCACAACAAAGAAATGAATCTTATTGTGAGTTATATTCCATCAGAATATCAGAAAGACATTATGGCATATTGGAGAAAAATAAATAGGATAAATAAAAACGAAGGATCTGTGTTTACATGGACACAGGAGTTGAAATCCAACATTTGTTCAGGAATCTGACTCAACAAGATGAAAAAGATATGGACATGGGAAACAACTCTACGTAGAAGCATGTCCTCAAGAATATGTAGTGTACGTTTGATATGGACACTACTTCATCCATTTAGGATAGTCCATTTAACACTGCTCAATAGACTGGTAGGATTATGAAACAAAACCTCAACATCATAAGAGAAAACGATAAAGAGGTACTTGTACACAATTAATTACAATGAAGAGATACTTCATAAAATCAGTAACCCAATTATTTTCGTTGAGTATTATATGCATTACTTGAACCATTTTCACAATGTGTTTAACAGCAGTGTTCTGCCTGTGGTTGGGTCCGTCCACTACTCCAACCCATTGGACTGGTAGTCTGGTAGATTGACCCAAGCTCAATGGTTGCACCAATTAACTCGGCAGTTAAATCCATGAAAACCATCAACAAAGCCAACCTTCTGCTTTGACATCAAGGTAAGCCGGATATCAGATATCAGATATGACGAACCGGTTATGGTAAGCCGGCCTAGGCCTGGGCTGTACATAAGGGCGTCAATGGACCGGTTTTGGATTGGACCCTGTCCAGTCCAAAATCAATTTGGAGGGATTGGACGGACCAACAAGACATATTGGATTGGACCAATCCAGTCCAAAATATTTATTAGATTGGATTGGACTGGGTCCGTCTGTAACAAATTTATATTGGATTGAGTTGGATTAAGCCAATATCAGGTCCATTGATATAAGATAAGAATATATGTGTCAATGGACCGGATTTGGGTTGAAACCAATTTAAATCAAAATGAATTTGAACAGATTGGACAGTCTAGACATTGAATTGGACCTGGTCCATTTATAATGGACTCACATTGGACTGGATTGGATTGGACCAAATCCAGTCCAATTGACACCCCTAGCTTGTACAGTAGGAATGGCAACAGGGCGGGGATCATATTCCTGTCCTCGATCCCAATTATGAAATTAACCCTATCCCCGTCCCCGATCCTCGTCAGGGATAAAATTTGTCCTCCATCCCCGATCCCCAACGGAAATGGTTCCCCGTGAGGACCTGAATCTCCGAACCTTTTTAGATAACAATATTTATTTGAAAATATATATATATACACACATAATCGAAGTCTGGGCGGGGACCTCAATCCCCATTCCCGTCGGAGATGGAAAAAATTGTCATCCCTATTGTACAAAATACCAAAGCGTATTTTTCAGGTCCTTTTGAGTTGGGCTTAACCTTTTCCGAACTTTTTTAGATAACAATATTTATTTGAAAATATATATATATACACACATAATCGAAGTCTGAGCAGGGACCTCAATCCCCATTCCCGTCGGAGATGGAAAAAATTGTCATCCCTATTGTACAAAATACCAAAGCGTATTTTTCAGGTCCTGCTGAGTTGGGCTTAACCTTTGACGATCTAAAATTAGTTTTAGGCCTAGACAAGATCTAAAAGACCCAAGTACGTCATTAGATCTAAAATTGGTCTTAGGCCTGATATAAGCGTCAATATGGTTATTCTCAGTTTGGATAGAGTACAAATTTGTCCTCTTAGTCTATTAGCATCATGGTTTTTTTTTTAATTTATTTTTTGTGGTGTCCAGTGTCCGTGGTGTGGTGATGTGGTGATGTGGCTTTAGCACCATAGATGCAGTGGATTATACCCACTGGCATACAACATGAAGAGCCTACCTTTTTGCGGTCCCGTGCCTAATTCAATGAGTATCTCCTGCAATAAAATACATTCCAACCATGTTTTTTAAAACCGATCGGAGACCGAATCGGTCAAGGGTCCGGTTACTAGATTAAATGGTCTGACTGTTTGAATTAAATGGTCGGCCCATTCTGATAAAAAATAAAAAATTTAAAAAAATAAAATAAATAAAATAAATAAAAAATGGTCAAAACCATTCAAATAATTCGAATAATTAATTGTTCGGGTCAACGGTTTGTGACCAAAATCAACAGTTACCTAACCGGTTCCCAGTTTTTTTCAGTCCAACCATCAAGTAGAGTCCAATTTTGAAAACTATGGTAAGATATGTAGGTTGTTGGAACGATCCTACTCTCAATCAAGGCCTTGTGAGTTGTGATTTCTCTATTAGTAATTACATTTTAATATCACTCGACAGAGGTGATAGACCAAACTGTCCAAATGAGTGGACCAACATTTGGATAGGTCCATCGCAAGGAGCAAAATATTTGCGTTAATCCCCCATTCTAGCTATCGTATATACCGTCCGGAACATCTGGTTAAGAAGTACGTTGAATCTGGTTTACGTACGTGGAAAGATAAAATAGGTAATCAGTACTATGGGTGCTCAGATCTGCTACCCACACCCTACCAACAAGTCACTAGAGCTGTTCATTGAGAATATCTCTTGTACTTGTTTGTTGTCATTCATGAGGGAGATGCATGGTTTTTAAAATCGGACCGGACCGGATGGTTTGGATCAGAAAAACCAGGGTGATTGGTTCCATTTTACACTAGAACTGTCATTTTGCCAAAAAACATTGATTTGGTCAGCAAATCACTGACCTAAGCGATCAAACTGTTCGAACCGTTCAACGGTTTTGACCATTTTTTATTTTTTTATTTTTTTGTTAAAATGGGCCATCCGTTCAATTCGAACGATAAACAATTCAACCCGAGAACCAAACCCTGACCGGTTTGCTTTTAAAAACTTTGGGGAGATGTTCCATGTGCCGCTATGACCATAGTGTCCTATGAGTAGTGATCCCAACTTTGTAGAGTAAAATACAAACTATTAGGGTAAAATACATCTCCTCTCTAATATTTAGGGTAAAATACAAAAACCTCCCCTCAAGTTTTTGATAATAATAAAAACCTCCCTTATAGTTTCATTTTAATAAACACCTCTGAACTTTTGAGAAATTCAACAAAAGTCTCCCTTCCGTCACCTTTCCAAACAGAAAACATTAGATTAATGCACCATTTTTTTCAAATACCCATTTTACCCTTTTATAAATTATTTTACATACAAAATTACTGAAATGACCATGTTTTAACTTGACAAAAACCTCCTTTAACAGTCATCTTCTAACGTTTTTATCGAGTTAAAAATAAGGTTATTTCAGTAATTTCGTATGTAAAATAATTTATAAAAGGGTAAAATGGGTATTTAGAAAAAAACTGATGCATCAGTTTAACGTTTTCAGTCTGGGAAGATGACAGAAGGGAGGTTTTTCTCAAAAATTCAGGGGAGATATTTGTTAGAATGAAACTATAAGGGAGTGAAATGATTTGAATGTAAGTTCTAACCTATTTTTGTTTTAAATTTGAGTTTAATTTATTTGAATACAGTACAAATGAAGTAAATTAAGACATAAAGCCGAACAAAGTAAAATCCAAAATAAAATTAAATGAGAAATTGCATTTTTGTTCCCAATGTACAGCGCTGTACCCTCTAAATAGTAGATCCGGATTCCTCTAATAAAGGAAAATACTAATTACCTTACCATCTTGTATTTTGGGATAGTGACACTTTATAGCACTTCATAACTGGATTTGTGTAAAAAAAACAGCTAATTTACTAAAAAGTCTAAAATGCCCTTTTGAGATTTATATGACTAAAAGGACATTTTATTAAAATGATAAAAGCGGGCAAGGAAAAGCATGCTAATTCAGAGGGGACAAAATGTTGGAATCTGGTAGTTGAGGGATATTTGTTGTAAATAAAAGTTCAGGGGCGAAGTGTCACTATCCCCAAATTATAGGGTGACAATCTGTAATTTATGGTATTTATTAATTTTTGTGGGGGGCATTCATCATCTGGGGCCAAGGTAGGGCGTAGGGACAGATGCATTCTGCACCAGAAATTGGTTTTATGGTTTTCCACCAAAACTGAATGAACCTTTTAGAGGTTTAAATTGTCACTTACGGATAAGGACAAACGGTTTACTCGTTCATGGCCAATGGCCAGTACTGGCCACTCATCTGTGTGAGCCTTTATCCACTTCCAAATCCAAAGTTCAAACATGTCGACATGGTATGAACCACCCATCAATTAAGCAAAAAGGAAGAAAAGGGAGCAAGAAATTATTACCTTAGAGGTGAGGCAGTATTTGGTCCTCTCATTCCCAGGAAAGCTATCAGACACAAGGAACTTCCCCTCCCCCAGAATTCTCACACCTTCTTCTGCTGTGTAAGACACCAAATCTCCAGACCTCACAACCTTCATCAGCCATACAACAAATAATGCCATGTGAGCTCAATCACTAGCTGTATCTCAAAGCTTACAAATTCCCAGATCTAGATTGTTTAATTACCTCAGTGACAGCGTCCTTCGCTGGCTTTGCGATCTCCTTGACGAGGCACTCGGCAATGGGGCCCTTGTGCTCCTTCAGGATTGCTGCGGCCTTGTGAAGCAGCTCTGCCCTCTTCCACAGCGGAGTCTTGGCCCACGCCTTCTGGGCGGCTTTCGCCGTTTCCATGATCTTGTTGACCTCGGCCTGAGTACAAGCTGTTGGAGGGCAGAGTGAGTTGGTCAGAAACTCGGACAAGACAGCGACTTATTAGTTCAGACTCCAGAGCGAGTTAACTCGGCACTGTTAGAGGTAACCCGAATGGTACGGGTTGTTAAGGGTGAACCTGGATCTACCGGTTAGTCCGGACCAAATCTTTCTGCATCAGAAAAAAAAGTCCGGCTGGCATATACCAATATTCGATTCCCTCTCTCTTGAAGCGCCTTGCATGAAGACATGAAACTTTTCTTTTCCCTAAATTTACCAACTCCATGAAAATGGCCAGATTTCCCGGGAAAACAGTGCAGAGTGCAGACCCTAGTCGATAGAAGTCGTAGAACTGGAAATCTAACGGGACTCGTTTAAGAACTCAAAATTTATCAGAAAAGCTGCTAATAAATCGACTCTCCCTAACAAATCTCAGAAAAACAAAACCAGAGATTCTTCTCCCAGAGAAGAAAGACAAATCAGATATTAACATTTAATACCGATAACCGATTAGTAGTTTCAACTAGGAAATGTTAATAAACCACTCTGACCATATGTTTCTAAATGAAAAATACGAACAAAGAAAATTAACCTCAATCTGACTTTCCCATCGAAAGAAGAAGCAGAAACTTTCGATCGTTAAAATTCAAGTGAAACCTGAACTAAAACCTTTAAGCGAGTTCTAACTGACAAGGTAAGCGAAAAGAGGAAGAAACATTTCAGACTCGCCGGACATTAACTTCAAGTCCAATTGAATCCAACCAAAGAAAATATAAGAGCCTCAAAAGCTGGTGAAACTAATCACCTTGGACCTTGTACTGCGTCTTTCTGGTGGTAGGATTGATGATCGCCACGGACTTCCCAGAAGAAGACACCTTCCATTCTCCCTCCGAGTAGTACTTGTAAACATCACCGTCAAAGATCTCTGCGAACACTCCAGTCCCCGCCATTTCCAACGCTTCACGCAACAAAATCGAGAAAGAAGAAGAAAGCGAACGAAGAAAAGCAGAGCAGAGATTCGAAGAGGGATTCGAACTTCAACCCTTCTTCCTCCTTCAGAGAGCTGCTGAAGCTGGGGGAGCTTGGTCGAGTTGGTGAGTTATTTATAAGCAGAAACTGAGCCACACTTCTCCGATGACTCGGGACAGGCTCCCAGTTAGGTGGTTACTGGTTAAGAAGACTGCCAAGCAAGCGCCTCCCGAATTCCCCATTTTGCCACTGGGATGGCCACTTATTTACCAAACCTGCCACTCTGCATCACTCTCTCTTTCTCCGCGAAGCAATGAGAGCCTCTAGTTTGCATGAAGTTTTCGATCGCCGGTGACCATTATGACCACCGGGGGGACCACCTACCTCATGTCATGTATTAACCAGGAACCTTGTGCAGTTGTGTGAATGAAGCGAGGTGGTTGATACCTGCGTGCATGGTGGTGTTAGGTATATTCCAGTTAGAGGTGGGAAATTTGTGCCCACATGTGACATTTTACTACGCTTTTGTTTAGGTAAGCTCTCCTGTTTTAGCCACATGGATGTATGACGTGGCTATCCTAGATTGGACCCTGGACACTTATTCATTGCCAATGCTGGTCAAGTCAGCTTCTAGACCCCATAAGCAAGTTATTTGTAGCTGAAGCTTAAACTTTCTAATTTGGAAAAAAAATGCTAAAAAGCAAGAAATTCCTGATTTGTGTCCAGCAAACATTGTTTCGGATTGCTTTTTTGTGAGATGTGAACCAATGAAAAATAAGACATCTTTAATGAAAAGTAAAACATGGTGATTGTAATTTTTGGGTCATATTTGCACTGAAGGCTGCTTTTGGAAATGATGCAAATGGAGTATAAATCCTGGTTCAGGGTAATTTTGCATTCTAGTTCACTTTTGCATGTGTTTGACAATATTACATTTATGCATTGACAAATAACAGATCAAAGCATATTTACATTACGTTAATAAAAAAAGAAATAAATTTGCATTCAAGTAGGTTTTTGATAAAAAAAGCGTATGTTTTGTTGGAATTCATGTTTGCATCCATTACAGCTAAAAGTCTGTTTGATAAGAAGGTAAATTTGTCGGTGCAAAACTAACCCAATTTTACTATTTATATGAACCGTTTTACACTCTACATATTTACATTCACACTAATTTTGCATCATTTCCAAATGCAGTCAAAGGCTCAGTTTAGAAGGAGTACAAATACAAATTTGTAAAATATAAAGCCTTGTATTTTATACTATTTTCTATGTATTTACAGAGTATATAATTGTATTTATACTCCTTCCAAAAGTAAAAGTATGAGAATGAGTGCAAATATACTGAAATGTAAATTCTAGGCATTTAGGTTACTATTTTACCATAAAACTTTATCATATATGAACAATACCCTTAGATTTGACCAAAGTATTGGTCCCCCAATGAGAATTAACTAAGTCCAATTCATGTTCTTTTTTTCTTTTTTTCTTTTTTTTAAGCAAGAAGCCCAATTTATCTTGGTACCTGATTATACAGTCTAATGTATATATTTTTAACTTCAGATATTCGGATAATGGAATCTGGTTTTTATTGCAAATATCAAAGAGCTTAAAGAAAATAGTGCATAAATAAGAGAACCAATATCATTGACTAATGGTGATTTTGGGTGTGAACATTCTCTTGGGTTAGACCTATCTAATAGTGGGTATAAGATCCTAATAAATACAACGATATATTTTATTAAAACAATATATTTGTCAATATTTCAGACTTGTTTAGAAAAAATGTAATTTAGTTTTAGACTTGAGCTAAGCATGAAAATGATCATTTCATATCCTTTTCAAATTCATGTGGTTTTTAAGCCTTTTCAAATACATGTTGATCATTCAAGTTCTTGATAATGGAATGATGAGATGACTTCTAACCAATAGATAAGAACAGATGACATACAGCCAAAGTAATTACAGAAGTTGCAGCCTAGAGCCTTCACCACTTGTTCCATGCTCAAAGGATAAGTACCCACCATTAGGTATTGTCTCAATTCTTGTCTAAAGGAATATAACAAAGTTTTGATTGATCATCAAATACTTAAAATGGGAGTCAAAGCTCGAAATTAAAAAAAAAAAATAACAAACCAATTTCTTGGTCATCTGATCAGCACCATTGATTTACCATAAGGCCTGGGATTTGGCCTTTCATCGCCACACTTTTTTGATACCTCCTGCAATCATTTTTTTTTCCCACTGGAGCATTCTTAGACTCTAGAGTAAAAAAGAAAAAAACAGATTGGGTGTGTTGTTACCTTCAAGTGTTTGTTCCATCACCTTTGCGTTTTAGTGTCATCCTGTTTATGATTACTTAATTTCCTCTGCTTGATTATCATGCTCCTTTGTATCTATATCAGCATTTTGTCAAACACTACTTGTTCTATCCAGAGGGGAAGCTAGAATATCATGTGATGGCTCAGGATGTTGTTGAGTGTTAATTTCAATATCTGTAGTTGCAACAAAAGCTGTAGGTTTATGAAAGGATTATAATATAATTAACACTCGAGGAAACCTCTTTACCAGTTTTTTGATAAACCTACTTCATCACGGAGGCTTTCGCTTTAATTGCTTAGGTTCAACATCGTACTGAATAGGGGTGTCAATTGGGCTGCATTTGGTCCAATCCGATCCAGTCCAATGTGAGTCTATTACAAATGACCCTGGTTCAATGAATATTTTGGACCAGTCCAGTTTAATGTCCAGACTGCCCAATCTATTCAAATTTCTGTTAATTTAGATCAGTTTCAACTCAAACTTGGTCCATTGATACCTATGTTCGTATTTTCTATCAATAGACCAGATAATGGTTCAATCCATTATAAATTCATTATAGATGGACCAGGTCCAATCCAATATGTCTAATAGATCCATCCAGTCCATCCAAATTCAATATGTCTTATTGGTCCGTCCAATTCATCCAAATTGATTTTGATTTGGATGGAGTCCAACCCAAAAGAAGTCCATTGACACCCCTACAACTGAAGGCTTGAGATCAACAACATGACATTTTACTTTCTTTTTTGTCCTTTTGCTTATAATTCCTTGTGCCCATGCTTGAAACAAAAAGAAGAATATTGAAGAAGATTTTCATATATGATTCTTTTCCAGAATCCCTCCTTCCCAATGCTGATCCAAACCCTAGAGGGCTGTTCCTTCAACAAATCCAATTCAACACAAACCCTAGCAGCCGTTGTTTAATTCGCATCAGCCATGAGGTTACAATATCAATTTTTGGGACTCTACCAATAGAATGAACGATCATCTTTAGAACAATCATTCAGCCGTTGACTGAATGTATGTGTCATTGTACAAATTGAATGACATTTAATCACAACTTCAGCATTATTTTCAGAACAATCATCTTTAGAAAATTCTAAGTAGTATGAACAATTTTCTGTTTTAGTTAGTTCTAATATTAAAATCATCCCAAATCAACAAAAAAAAGCTTTTTTTTTCCGAATGGGCATTGAGATCAAAATCTTACCAATTCCATAAAGCAAAATGTTCCCTGAATTAGAAACAACTTTTTAACTAGTGAAATCAATAAATTTGGTTTCATTCTATGTAAGGGTGTGAAGGGACCGGTATTGGGTTGAACCCTGTCCAAATCAAAAAAATCATCAATTTGGATGGATTGACAGGCCAATAAAAAAGATATATTAAATTGGACCAGTTCAAATTAATGATCCAAAATTTTATTGATTGGATTGGATTGTTCCTGGTCCATCCATAATGGATTTATATTGGTTTGGATTAGATTGAACCAATATCCGGTCCATTAATAAAAGATATGAATATAGGTGTCAAGGGACCAGATTTTAGTTAGAATCAATCTAAATTAAAATCAATTTGAACAAATTGGATGGTTCAGACATTGAATCAGACTAGTCCAAAGTATTCATTGGATTAGATTGGACCAGGTTCATCTGTAATGGACTCATATTGGACCAAATCTGATCTAGTTGGCACCCCTAATATTTCTACGTGGATCCCACTATCTCTACCTTTTTCTAATTTTTTTTTTTTTTTTTTTTGTGATGTAATGTTTTTGTAAACTCGACCCTCTTTGGGCCATCATGTAGCTACTAGTATGATTCATGGTAGAGGCATAAGAGGGTAAAATCTATTTAGTGGACTCTATCAAATTTGTCTCCAACTAATATGCTTTTTGTATTCTATATTTTCTCATAGAAGGTGGGCAAGAATTTGAAATTGATTTAAGGGGACACATTCATGTAATGAATTTCATGTGAATAAGTAGGCTTTATAGTATCTAAAGTGAGCTGTTTCAAATTAATAAAAATATGGGAAATTGTCTAAAACTCACCATACCCATATCACTAAGTTGATGCTAAATAGACTAACAGATATTGGTAGATTATTATTTTACCCCTTGTTTTGTTATAAATGGAAAATAAAGCAAAACTTTAGTAAAAAAGAAACAACAAAAGTATATTTCAAATATTTCAGTCTAAAAAAATTTCTGCCCATTTTACATATTTAAGTAAAAAAAGAGCTTCAAATAAAAAAAAAAAAAAGAATGCTTTTGATTCAAATCAAATTCATCTGATGCTCCATATCTACTTGCACAACACAACTGTCACTTTATCCAATTATCCCTTTTAATTTCAAATGCAATAAGAACAGAGATCAAGAAAAGCTCTATGGTCAAGAAGAGAAAACATGGCTCTGTAGGACCCAACGTCCACTTTTAACAGATGCCAGTTAGAACAAAGTGTATTGAATAAAAAATAAGTTGACATAAGAATATATTTAATAAGGCTGATCAGCCATTTAGGGGCAATTTAGTCATAAAAGTTGTATTTATACTGATATGAATAATTTCTGTCAATGAACACTAATAATGTTTTAACGAATGGTGAGTTTTGGAAAACATAAAATCGTTGATATGAAGACTTGAAAAGTTATGGTGAATTTTAGACAAATTTCCTAAAAATATTACGTATGAGTAATAACTATAAAATATTCCTTTCTATATATAGTACTTTTGCATCTTTTGGTGTGGGTACATATGTAATAGGATGACATTAATTCCAAGAAAAAAGGGTGAAAGGAATAGGAAGATTCCACCTATGATTTACTACTCCCTTGAATTTTG